CAATACAGCAAGCACCAATTGCAATGGAAAATACAACAGAAAATCCTCTTGATACTCTGGTTGACCTATTTGATTCCTTTACTGAGAATCTTCCAAGATGAAAGCAACAGGAGAATGACCCTGCACCGGCACATGCGGAACGGGAAAATGATTCTTCTCCTTCTCCATCTGCCGCAATGGGCTTTGGGCATGCGACAATCCAAACAAGAATGGATAACACACAAGTCAATCACAGAATAGAATCCATGATTGATGAGACAAATTTTGATGAGCATGGGAGAATGAAGAACACACCTAAATCCTATGAAGCAAAGAAACACGAGTTCTGTCTTTTTTGCGACACCGTCTATAGTGGAATGAAAATTGAAAAAAGATACACCATCGACCAAGACAAGGTAAAAGAATTTATGCTCTATGTTGCCTTCCGGGAGCAGAAAAAAAGAGGACGGAAAAAGAAAGGGGCAAAATCAGTTACTTTCGACATAGATGAGTGGAAACGAATATCGACTCTTATTGTCGAGAACTCCCAAAACATGCTGAAAAGTAGTCTCATGGAGAAATTAGAGCCCAAAATTGGGGTGGGCTGGAATGTGATGAATAGCACTAAAGCTTCTCTCCGTCAAATGTGGCTAGGTTTTTGGCTTGAAAATATCTCAAATTATGAACCATGTAAAAGGACGTCAGCCACGAATGGATTGGAAAAACTACAAAGAAAAGATGGACAATAATTCAGCACCAATGGATGCAGTTCAACATATAGATGCCATAGAGAATTCATTCTTCACCAATGGCATTGAAATGTCATCCRGAAAAAAAGTTATCCAGTCAAATCTCCGGGACCGGTTCACATTCCTTTCCACCATGTGCGGTTTGTTACGTGGTGAGACATTGTTTAADGCAGAACTATCTGATGTTTTCCGAGTTCTTGTTCAAAAGGAAGAYGATCCACACCCTTTATTTGTAATGATAATGCAGTTTGCAACAGGGAAGGTAAATCGCGGATTCAAGCTCTATGGGAGAATGGCAAGAAATTTTGATGTGAATCAGTGTCCTGTCGGAGCATTAGGCTTCTACCTCATGTACCGGTTTCACTACAGCCATGAAATGGACGACATTGATTTTTCCGACAACAGTGCCTGGTTCAATATCAACTTGTTAACAGCATTCAACACTGAAGATAATACAAAATGTATGAACGACAAAACGTATGCAGCTGCTGTAAAAAAAATCTGCAAAAAAGAAGGAATACCAACAGCACATTTTGTTCACATAGGTCGTGTTTTGGGTGCCTATGAATGTGAGCTCAACGAGGACCCTAGAGAAGAAATCAGTAATCTTGGCAACTGGGGTCTAAATGTACAGGAGACACGGTATTCCACAAAGATTCCTCTAGCAATTATCCGTAGCAAGGCACATCTGAAGAGACACATCAATTGGAATCCAAGAATAGGGCTATCCGTACCTCAAGACCTTGCCGATGCCGTTTTCCCTTGGCTGCAACAGGCAAGGGAAAAGTTCGATGCAAATAAAGCAAATAATGCTTCTTGTGCAACAGCACAATGCTTCCTACTGTTTATGCACAACCTTGCACAAGTTGTAATCCAAGATGCAGCAGCTCTTGCCGTCAAATACCCTGACCGTATTATTCATCCAATGTACMAGCTTGATATTTTTAATAATGACAAATTCAGGAAGTACGTGGAAGAAATGAGGGTTCATCTTGATAGATCAAAGAGTCCATGGGATAATTCCTTTGAACAGTTCAATGTTGGCTTGAATTCTAAAATCAATGGTATTCAAACAAGTCTGTCTGGATGCAAAGCGGTCCATGAACGGAACTMTGCACTGTTGTCCCAACTTGTGGCAGAATCAAGCCATGCAATAATGCGGGATACTATCGTCAACCAATTTCGTTTACTGAGATCAAGTTTTGGAGATGCCGCTACTGTTCTAGCAGACAGGATGACAGATACCGTGTCAGCCCAACTCATTTTACGTCAAGGAAATAGAGCAATAGGCACTGCCAACCCACCCTCCACCACAGAGGAGAACTTGCCATTTCCAGGATTTGGTTACAAACTTCCAGTAGTACGTTCTGCTTCTCAGTTATGGRATGTTTGGTTTGGCACCGGAAAGTACAAAGATATTCCAATTTGCGGTGGTGTCGATGCCCTGGAACGTCAACACTCCAGCACTTGGAGACGGGACTATCCCAAATGTGACACATGGATGTTCTCCCGATACAAGCTTGCAATTGCCTACATGAAAGAGGAATCGAAAGCAATTGAAAACAAGCAATTTTTTTTTGAATCAATGGACAAGTTGTTCCGAGAGTCAAAAACCTGTTCCATAACTCCTATTGAAAGGAAATTGAGCACAAAACACAAGAAGCGGAAGGCAGAAGCTAATGTTGGTTTTGGCAGGGAGTGCCTTCTTCCTATAGTTTTGGACCAGCGAAAAAAATTCGTCCCATTCCATTTTCTTGTTGTCCTGCCTCCAGTGAAAATGGGATAGCTGCTGAACCAGAACTCGGATTTGGACCAAACCAAGCTAGGGGAAGCCTAATTCTAATTTGAGGGGGTGCTTGCGATTTGGCATGTTGGTTTTGGCAGGGAGTGCCTTCTTCTTATAGTTTCGGACGGCAAAAAAAATTCGTTCCATTCCATTTTATTGTTGTCCCGCCTCCAGTGAAAATGGGATAGCTGCTGAACCAGAACTCGGATTTAGACCAAACCAAGCTAGGGGGAGCTTCATTTGAGAGTGTGCGTGCGATCCGTCATGTTGGTTTTGGCAGGAGATGGCTCCTTTCTATAGTCTAGGACCAGCGAAAAAATTCGTCCCATTCCACCATTTTGGTGTCATCCCGCCTCCAGTGAAAATGGGATAGTTGCTGAACCAGAACTCGGATTTGGAAAAAACCAAGCTAGGGGCAGCTTAATTTGAGGGTGTACTTGGGATCCGTCAGGTTGGTTTTGGAAGGAGATGGCTCCTTCCTATAGTCTCGGACCAGCGAAAAAAATTCGTTCCATTCCACCATTTTGTTAGTGTCCCCGCTTCCAGTGAAAGTGGCATAGCTGCTGAACCATAACTCGGATTTAGACCAAACCAAGTGATGGGAAGCTCAATTGGATGGTGCTCTTTCCAACCGTCTACTAGGTTTTTGCGAGGCGTGACTCCTTCACATCGTTTTGGATGTCGGAAAAATTCGGACCATATTGTCATCTTTGAGTGAAATACCCAAGCACACTGCCTTGCCTAATTCCTGAACCATAACTTGGATTTAGACCAAACCAAGTGATGGGATGCTCTTTCCAACCGTTTACTTGATTTTTGCGGGGAGTGACTCCTTCACATCGTTTTGGATGTCGAAAAAAATTTGGACCATTCCACCGCTAATTTGTTCTTGTCCCTTTTGCCTCCATTTTATACTAGCTATAAACAAATTATTTCTTGTACAACCAGAACAATATTTCGCGAACTTACTAAGGAGAGTTAGAGCTTCGTAACGGTACCCTGGACTTGGTCTAGCATGCTCTGCTTATTGAGTTATTGCAGTTCCAATGGTCAGTTTGAGGCTTTGAGGAGTTGTCATTTTTTTTTGGTCTGTTTGACGATGCAGTAACAAAGTGAGTGTGATGTGATGTGATGTGATGTGATGTGCGGTGTTGTGTTGTGTCACATGGTGCGTCACACCAATAAGAAAATGCGTCATTTTTGTGTGTTATTTAAGGTGGTGTGGTCCTGGACCAAATGGCACTACCATACGTGTAGAAAAGTACTTGGTCCTGGTTGTACACCGATATAATAACTAATATTATTTACTATTGGGTGATTCCCGTTAATAGATGTGCTACTTTTGATAGACTGACAGACCGAAAGTTTAGCACATATAACAAAATTTATGTTAATAGATGTGCTACTTTTGATAGACTGACAGACCGAAAGTTTAGCACATATAACAAAATTTATTTGAAGTACTTTTGATAGTGCCCAAACTGGTGCTATCGAATGTAATAAATTTTGTGATGAAACTCACAATTCAAAATTTTTAGTCCATTGAAAGACTCAACAGAAAGTTTCAAGTCTTTTTGAGTCTTTATTACATTGGAGAATAATTAAGAAGATTCCAGATTCCCAAAAAGAATTGGAATGTACCTGCCTAGTACCTTGTTGTTGTCTGTCTGTTGAAAAAATTATTCCCGTTATTATGTATGTAATAAAAATACTAAATGTACCAGTTTGGCATGTCTGTAACAACAGGAATCACCACCCATTATGTGATTCCTGCTGCATGCGAAATATATCGAATTATGCTACTAGTGAGAGGTTGTGAGTCACATTTTCCCAAGCCTTTTTGGTGAGCACTATCACCAGCTTTTTCTTGGCATGCTTTCTAGTAATTGAGCAAGTAGCAGAGCTTGAGTACAGCTAAGTGGTTTGGCAATTGCTGATGTGGTGACGACTTAACTGTTGAAAATTTTGCTAGTAACAGTTGAAAATAGTACTAACCCAGTTTCAGCTAGGATCTGTACACATCTAGCTAAAAGTACTAGCAGTAGTAGTAAGAAATAATTATTTTTTAAACCACCACCACTAAAAGCAGGTAGGGCCACAACCATCATTGCCTATTCATTTATCACCACCAGATAACCCTAACTATAGATGTATATGTGCCATGTATGTACTGTACTATGTGACTACTATGACCATGGCAAGGCATGGCATGGTATGGCATGGCATGATATGACCAATGCTGCCTTTAGGTGACGCATTGTGAAATGCATAGCATAACTACTGTAACCACTTAATCTAACAAAACACCAATCAGAATTTGGAATGAGTCATATTTTTTGGAGCTATCGTGCTCATTGTTAATGATGTAAGAATCTCAATATTTGCTCTACACTCTCTTCATTTCCATTGATAAGTAACTAGCTGTTCTTGCGCCTCGCCAGATTGCAATGCTCTTATTGGGTCTCAGTAACTGGAGGTGAGCATTTCTTGGACCATATGAACCGTGTAGAAACTCATGTGGACACCGAGCAGGGCAGCTGTTTCCTCTGGTATCTGATCTTTCCACCAGTACAAAATACTCGAGAACCCCACCATTTGCCCAACAATCATGGGGTGGGGGATGATATTGTAGGGAAAGCCATCGATCCAAGAGGGTTTGACGAAACCGAGCTCGGATCCAAAGTAGGTGCGCACCATGCCGAGCTGCATGGTGGCCAGGATCGTGATGGAAAAGCCCACCAGCGACATCGCAATGCCGGGAATATCCCTCGGCAGTGCTACGAGGGGCAGCAGACGCTTGGACAAGTGCATCAGGGCAAGAGTTTTGTACAGCTTGCAGTCCCGCATCAGGAATCCATGCGCCACGGGTGGGGTACGGTAGGCAAATGTAGAAATGTAGACAAAGTAGTGTCGGAACGAGGTCAAAACAAGAAAGGGTGTCTCGCCCAGCCAGTAGGCCGCAAGAATGTAGGTGAGGTTGGGCCATCCGACGTGCAACTCGAACATGGCATTGGTCCAGGTAGTAATAAAAATCCACCATGCATTTAGCTGTTCCAGCATGGTCACGGGCCGAAGGGTTCGGAGGAAGTTTTTGCGGGCCCAAGTGTTGTAGGAAAGATTGAGGTAGGCACAGAGCCTGCCATACTTGTGCCATCCTATTGATACGATATTGTGTCATCAACCAATAAAAATGTGTGAGTTGATATGGCAAGTGGCATCGCTGTAAACGAACAGAAGATTCTCCTAAAAATGAATCGGTTTTCCCTTGTGTTGCAATGCATACCTTTTGGATAGACGACAAAGTGAAGCTTGATCAAGGATCGTCGTTCGTTGTTGGTTTGTCCTGGGACGTGATCGATCCAATGTAGCTCTCGGTTATAATCGAATCCAAGACAGTCGTACATGTCTACCGTCTTGTCCTCAGAAGCGTGTTGCAGGTTGAAATTCGTTCGAACCATTTTGTTGGGTGTTACTCCCACCAAGATCCGATAGAGCGAAGCTCCTGGCAACCACCAGAAGGGTCCATCCTGACACGCGATCGAAGAAATGGGTCCATGACCAAACAAAGTGTCAGGCCAAAGAGAAGTCTTTGGGTCGCACACGGCATGCACATGTACTGCTTTAAAAGGTAACTTACGGTATGGGGCGTGTAAAACACGGCATCGCTAGTGATTTCCTTGATGGCACCGACCGCCGTAACGTAGATTTCGTTCATCTCGATCACAGGGCGGATGTCGAAGTGGTGCGATGCAAAGATGGTCCGGAATGCAGCCATGATCGAAGCATCGTTTTCGAGCTGTGTGACCGCGTCATCAGTTCCTTCCTGCTCGTGGGGCCAGACATGGGTTGTATCCTAGCGTGATGTGGTGTTGAGTGTTGCGATGCAAGCCGAAAAACAATTGAAAATTTGTTTTTGTCAGCAGGAATGGCGTGTAGGCGCTATCAAATAAAGCCAAGACCGCGAACTACTGCTGTGAACAAAACAGCAACAACAAAACATCTACGGTTGCAAGCACTCACCGGTTTTTCGGGAACCTCTTGGTTGATCCATTCCCGAAGGTCCTCTACGGCTTTTTTCGACGCGACCTGGCAGAAGATGTTGCGGTTGCGGTTCACGAATAGCTTAGGGATGAAGCAGTGGCGCATCAGGACGGAATCGATGACCAAGGGCATCAGCCAGAACGTGTGGACCAGAAGCGTCGACGGGCTGGTTCGAATGTAGGAGGACATGAGGGTTTTTTCGGCACAAAGCCAGTGAGCGAGGTCCTGGAGCCCGTATCCTGCTGCAATGGCCAGGGCACATGCCCCGAGGGCTCCCCCGGGAACGGCCTCGAGCGGGATCGAACAAAGTTTCGCGGCGTCCTCGATCGAAATCCTTAGGCACCCGTAAACGAATGCGGTGTGAAAGAACGCCGTTACCACGGGTGTTGTCGCGGCAACAATCGCCGCATAGGCCCAGACAGAAATCGCTGCGAGCTCCGGATCCAGGACAACCCCTGCCAGCTGCACTGTCCCCCACACGCCAAGCCCCGTGGTGAAGACGTGAGCAAGGGCGTTAAGGTCGTGTTTGTGATAGGGGTGAAAGGAGCGTGCAAAATGGGCGTACGACGATTTGGTCCAGAAGACGGACCGCAGAGTATGTGGATACCCGTCGTTCTTGGGTTGGGAATCCATTTCGGAAGAGGGGCGGGGTGGCGTTGTGTTTTGTTGGTGTCGTTGGAATCTGACTTCGGGACGGTCGTCTATTTTTTGTTGTGAACAATTGCTTCGCTCCAAAGAACTGTACAAGAAATTGCGAGGCAAACGCTGATCGACTCCTTAAGGTTGTTTGAAACCTTGAAATGATTTGAGAAAGCTTCTTGTCAATGGTTTCTGCCTTACGGTTCGCGATGATGTCTCGATAGTCAGTCGATGCTCGGTATTGTTCTCAGATGCGATGCCGGTGGGAGAACGGATTGAGATTTTTGGATGAGCTGTACGTTTTTCTTTCCCAATGCGATTATCTGTCGTGCGGTACGGGTACGATACCGTACTTGGACCGATGACATAGTAGGATGGTGGGTGATGACATTCTTATCTTGATGGATGATGGTGACAAAAAATTCTCACGATGATCGTAGGTTAAAAAGTAGCGAATTCGTTAGGCATCAAAAAATCTACCACACGTTTACAATAATTCTTTCCAAACGTAGGTCGAGTCAAATCAAGTAAGAATAGTACTGGAGAAAGATTTTGAATCAAGATTCGAAATGATTCTTCGTTTTTGGCGTTCGAGGCATCTGTTTTCCGCCTCTCGAATTCTAGGATGCTGTGAAGTACTGTACGTACCGTACAGTACCACATGAATCTTTTAAAATTAATCGTCACTTTTTTCCGTGGTTAGACCATCCCTGAATCTACCGTGAAAAACTTGGGATGCGTTTTTCTGCAAGAAGATTCGACCATCCCCTCCCATCATCCACAGATGACGCACAACCTCGCATTGCACAATGGCTCTACCAAGAACACAATCAGCATTGGTTTTCTAACCCGAAATCGTACGGTGCTAAAACAATATAAGTTCGGTTGCTCGAGCCGCAACACCGTAGGAGTACTTGTGTCACAGACAAATCATTTTTTTGGAGATAGAACATCGTCTTCGCCATATTTTCCTTTCCTCCGAAAACACAGCTGGAGTGATAGAAAAACAAAAGAAGAACAACGGTGAAGTCAATACAACCATGTTGACATGTGAGTATTCCGAAAAGCGGTTTTTTCGTCGTGTTGAAATCCAATCTCCCTTGTTTTCAAAGCATCCCACTGAATGTCTGTTTCCAATCGTTCGTTTTCTTTTTCTTCTCTCTGGGTTCCTCTGGTGTCCTCAGTCAACAGGTCGTCGGTGGACAAACTGAGCGCTGCGGTAAGCAATGCAGTGAGCAATGCTGCAGTCGCGAGCATGGCTCAGGTCTCGAAGGCCTCAGAAACAATCTTCTCCAACCTCAGCTTGAGCAATAGCAACAATACCCAGCTTACCTATGCCGCGGGAGCCGTTGTAGGTCTTTACATGGGGAGCATCGTCGTGAAAAAATCCTTCAACATGATCGATGCAATCTGCAACCGAACGTACATTTACAACATTTGCTGGGAAGATCCTGCCGTCGACCACCAGCTATTGAAAATCACTCCCGACGATGTAATCTTCCGAATCTGTTCCGCGGGAGACATTGTCTTGGATTACGCAATCGAAGGACCCTCTAAGATTGTCGTGTGCGACATGAATCAGCACCAATTGTGGCTCTTTGAGTTAAAGATCCGAATGCTCCGGGACCCCAAACTCACCTACGAGGAGTGGTGGGGCATCTGGGGGTCCTCCGACGTTTCGATCGCTCTCAGTGTGTGGAAACGAATGCGGCACACCATGTCGGCCGGTGGACGCAAGTGGTGGGACGGACGCATCGAGCGCGTCTTTCGGCAGGGCTTTGTGACGACGGGATCGACGGGTTTTTGTTCGAAATTCCTCATTCCCTTCGTCATGTTCTTTTGCGGATTCGACTTCAAGGAATGGTCCGAAAAGGGCTTCTCGCACGACTACATCCAGGCCAATTACCACGTGATCGAGCGTTCCGCATGGTGCATGCGTCGTCTCTTCCCCAGCATCATTGCCCCCTTTGCCGGTGTGCCTCCCAACCAGATCGGGCCCGAATTCTACACGGTTGAATTTTACGAGACGATCCTGAAGGAAATCTTCATGGATCCAGACTTTGGTACCTCCAACTACTTTTACCGATTCTATCTGGAACACGGATACAAGGACAAATCATGCTGCCCTCGAACGCTCCAGGAAGTCCACTTCGAAGCCCTGCGCGAAAACGCGAGTTGTTTCGAGTGGCACCATTCTACGGTCCAGGAAACGATGGAACGCGTCAAGCCCCACTCGTTCACGAAGCTGGTCCTGCTGGACCACATGGATTGGATGCCGAACAGCATGGTCCACGACGAATGGATCGCCCTGCAACGCGCCACCGTTCCCGGCGCCAAGATTTTGTGGCGTTCCGCCTTTACCCACATGGGGGACAAGCCCTTCTTCAACAACCTGGACATCTACGATCTTAGCCCGCAGTGGTATCCCAAGGACCGCGTCAAGATGTACCCCGGCACCTTCCTCTCGCACATGCCCAAGGACCCCTTCCCGTTCATCGATCCCGAGCCGTCGCCCTGCCAGAGGGCATCCCTCGCGAGAAAGATGAGCACGACCGCAAAGATGATCCTACACCCCCTGACGGCGGGCCTCGCCGGCACAAGTGCCCACGGCGACAAGATGTCCTCGTTCTACGCCGCCCAGGCAAGGGGGTACGACGCCGTCCGTGAAAACATGCTCGTGGCGAGGCCGGAAATGATCTCCGCCCTTGGACCCATCCGGAACGGACACACGTGGCTGGACATCGGCGGCGGAACCGGCCGCAACCTGCACTACCTGCGCGCGCAGCTGGACCGCTTCCGGACGATCGTCGTCCTGGACATCTGCCCCGAGCTGCTGGAAATCGGCAGGCAGTCGGCCCTCGAGTCCTTTTCGCCCGGGCAGTGCGAACGAATCAAGTGGGTCTGCCTCGACGTGAACGACCCCAACGCCGGGGAGGAGCTCGCAAAGATCACCGGAACCGAAACCGGGCGTGGGTTCGACACCATCACCTTCAGCTACTCGCTCTCGATGATCCCCGAGTGGGAAAAGGCCCTGTGCTCGGCGCGGTCCCTCATGTCGAACCACGGCCGCGTGCTGGTGGCCGACTTTGACACCTACACCGAGGCCGGAACCTCTGCGAAGGACTGGGCGATCCGTACCTGGTACAAGCAAGACGGCGTCCGCATCGACGCGAGGTCCCGGGAGGTCATCCTGAACACCGTCTTTGCCGGGGACGAGTACACCAACACGTGCGTCCGGATGCAAAAGAAGCTGGCGGGCGTACGGATCCCCCACTACGTGGCGTGCTGCCGAAAGAGGACCGACACGCTGCACGACGGACACCGGCGTCCGTCCTTTCCGGACTTTTCGAAGCTGGAGAACGGGGTGCAGGAGGAAAAGAAGGAGTAACGCAATGTTTTCCGTGCATGGCAGGTGCTCTGTTCACCCGATCGAGTGCTAATACACTAATGTAACAAAATGTCTTTACAATGCACGACGAGTAGCGAAAGCAGAATAGATTGCGGCCTGTGAACGGCGTGTTTTCGGTACGAGGATTGTAGATTGTGCGTAGGGTTCCGTCGCTGCATTATCTCTTAATGGTGTTTGGGTGCGTGCGTACGTGTGTGCTGTGCTGCGCTGTGTCGTGTTGTGTAGTGATGGGGCACACCGGGCCGGGCTGGTTTTGGCTAGGCCTCCCCGCCGGGAGACCCAAAGGCGAGGGCCCTCGGCGGCAGGGAGCCGGCCTCCGGAGAGGCAAGGACCGCTTGCGGGCCCCCGGCAGCGGCCCCTAGGGACACCAGGACGGCCGAGAGGTTGTCCCGGGACTCCCGGCCCAGGCACTCGAGGAGGAGGGCGTCGGCGGCGTCCGAGAGAACCCTTGGCGTCCGCGGTTCCCGCGTTCCCTCCCACCGGGCCAGGACCAGGCCCGCGGCGGTTTGGTTGGAGGCCACGTCCCAGATCCCGTCGCAGGCCAGGACCAGCAGCCGGTCGGTCTGCGGGTCCCGGGCCCGGACCACCACGCCCGGGACCGCGACGACGGCCTGGCCCGCGGCCGGCAGCGTGTCGTTGGCCTTGAACTCAAAGTCCCCAAAGGCCCGGGAGACCGCCAGCTGGGTGGACGTTTTCGTCGATGCTTCCGGGGAAGCCTCGTTCCCGACCACCTTGTGGATCAGGCTCTCCTTCCCGTCTTCCCCGGCCACGCGGACGGCCTCCGTCCGAAAGCCGGCGGCCGCTATGCGCTCGGCCTCGCCGGGGAGGCCGGGGGAGTGGTCCTCGGAGAGAGCGATCGCTTCCACGGCCGCGGGGGCCGGTGGCGCATCGTGGTCGTGGTCGTTGTCGTGGTCGGCCTCGCCGTTGCCTTCGGCTTGCGCTTCGTTCGGGTGCTCGCCGGGAACGGGGGCTTCTTCCGCCACCCGGTCGCCGCCGGTGCGGGCGAGGACGCAGCGGCTGTCCCCGACGTTGGCGACGACGATCTCGTCCGGGGTGACGAGGGCAAAGACGCCCGTGGAGCCCCCCTCGGAGGACACCTGGTCTTTCAACTCGGCGTCTAGCCGGAGGCAGGCCTCCGTCCAGACGGCCGTCCAGTAGTCGCCCGAAAGGAGGATGCCCCTCGGCTCGTGGGATTCCAGGCAGGCCCGGAGGACCCCCGCCATGCGGGAGGCCACAAAGTTGCTGACGCGGCCGTGGTCCCCGTGGCCGTCGCAGACGGCAAAGAGGGCCATCGGCTGCGGCCCCTGTTGCCAGGTGGCGACCGAGACGGCGTCTTCCATGTAACCGCGGAGGCCGGGCATTTCCGCGGTCCCGTAGCTTATTCCGAGGCCCTCGACAAAGCCCGCGCGTTCCTCACTCGGCTTGGACTCCCCAAAGATGCTGAGGTCGTTCCTCGAATAGAGGCTTTTCTCGAGGGTCCGCTGGTGTTTCTTGGCCTTGGGGACCGGCGACGTCATGGCCCGGCCAAAGGCGGTTTGTCCCCCCAGGTCGACGAGCCCGGACAGCATGGCGGAGGCCGGTCTGCTGCTGCTGTCGGCATGGTCGCCGTCGTTGTTGCCGTCGTTGTTGCTGCCATCCGTGGTGCCATCCGTGTTTCCAGGCGGAAACTCGTAGAGGGGCAGAAGGAACTGCACCATCTCGAGGTTCCCGCGCTCCCCGGCAATGTGCAGGGCCGTCATCCCGTAGAGGTCCCGGTCCAGGTGCAGGTCGCCGTAGGTGTCGGGGTCCCCTTTCGCCTCCGAATAGCCCCTCGCCAGCTCCAGGATTAGGCCAGCGGCCGCGACGTTGTTGGCGTAGGCGGCGCACTGCAGGCTCGTGTAGCCGTCGGGGGCCGTCACGCCCATCTTGGTCGCCCGGACCCGGAGCAGATAGGCGTCCCGGTAGGAGTGGTTCTCCACCATCGACCGCATCCGGTTCAGTAGCTTGGGCTGGAGGGCCTGCGTGCTGGAGCAGAGCCGGAGGAACTTGTCGTGGTTCTTGCGCTCCGGCTTGGGGGATTTCATGAACCTCGCCGTCTCCCGGCAGGCCGACAGGACGCGGGCGTCGAGGTCGCTATTGTTGTTGTTGTTGCTGCTGTTGTTGGGATTGTTCCTGCTGTTGTTGGCCGGGGTGGAAGGGGTCCGCGGCGGAACGACGGTCTCGACCACCGCCGGCGCCGAGGGGCCGCTGCTGCTGCTTCTGCTTCCGCCGCTGCCCCCGGCGACCTCGGAGGGCGTCCAGCTGTGGCAGTGGACGCACCGGACCATGCGCTGGCCGCTTCCGTCGCCGGCCGGGGGAAAGGCCCCCGCCGGGGGGGCCCTGGGGGGCAGAAAGTTGTCGTCCGGGGCGAGGATCTGCCAAAAGGCGGACCGGGACTCGTCGTCCTCGTCGGCCTCCCTCGCTCCCGGGTCCGGGGCCAGGGCCTGGCCGATCCCGCTGCGCTCGAACCAGTGCGCGAGCATCGGTTTCTCGTGGGTTTGGTTTGGTTGTGGGGTTTTGCTTTGTGTCTGGTGGGTTGCGTGTGCGTGTTGTCGTACGGTACCCTGTTATGCCATGCTTTGCTTTTCGAAACGGTGCTCGACGGCCCGTTGGGCGTTTTTGGTTCCGGATATCGTACTTACTCGTAGTCGTAGTCATAGCATACTCGTACTCGTGCGTACTGCTTGTACCGAAGGCACGATTGCGAGGCGTCCAAGGCACCAAGACGTCTACCGGTACGACGCCTTGTACGGGTAGAACATGGCAGACGACGCGTGGACATCGTGGAAAGAGAGTACGAACGTACGGTACCTGTAGGACAAGTACCGGAGTACGAGGACCTCCAACGGTCATTACTCGTTACGACTTTCTATTCGTGACTCAAATCAATTTGTGAAACCAAGACTAACTGGGACCGCACCATACGGCACACTGGACTGCGCGTAGTCGGATCGGATAGATCATAGTCGTACGTAACGTACGTTCCATGTGCAAGTAGGGTACTGTTGTCATTCGTACCGTACGTGCACATGAACGTACGGTACGGTACCGTACTGTTGGAGCTATCATCGGAAGCACGAATACCATCTGTGATTGACCCACCCAACAACCTCCCTCTTTCTCGCAAAACACGCTACGGTACTGTAACAAATACGATGCGACAAACACTACAGCATGGATTCTGTTTTGAAGAAACTCTTAAGACGAAAGCGTTCGAGTTCGTACGCACTCGTAGTTTTCCATACCATGCATGCCGTGCCGTGCCACGGAGCGAACACCGGGGGGGGGGGAACACGGATCCCCGGGCATTTTCGTTTTCACCAAAGGCGGGCGCTCGGACCGGGCCGGACTACCTACCTCCTGCCCCTGCCCCTTCCGCGGCCGCCCCTGCCGCGTCCACCGCGGCCGCCCCTTCCGCGGCCCCGGCCGGACGCCGCCGTCCGCTCCGACCCGTGGTACACCCGGGAGGAATCCTGCAGGAGCTGGTCGGTGGGGTAGAAGCAGGTGTGCTTGGTCGCCCCGCCCTCCAGGGGGGACTGGCCCTCCTTGAACTTGATCCTCAGCTTGCGGCAGCCAAAGACCTCGTCCTTCTCCTCCAGGAGGGCCATCGACTCGATGCTCTTGGGCAGGTGGATGATGGTGGCGTCCCGGGTGCCGACGAGACGCCACTTCGGCCCGAAGTGGGGGTCCAGGGTGAAGATCCCCTCGCTGTCGGGATCCGGGCTCACGTAGAGCTCGTCGATCAGCGGGTGGTGGTCCGGGAGGGGGCACGACAGGGTCAGGTTCTTGCCGGCGACCTTGCGGATCTGTTCTTCCTTGTGCTCGTCGTCCTCGTCCCTTCCGCTTCGGGCGTCCTTGCTGGTGATGGACCACTCGGGCAGGTTGAAGCAGTTCGGGCAAAGGGGAAAGGTCCGGGGGGGGGCTGAAAGGAAAGGAAAGAAAAACAAAACAAAACAAAACCAAACAAAACACAGAACAAGATCGACGGCGAGAAAAAAAAAAACCACGTCAGGCACGGACTGTTGCCACCGGGAGGCGTTTTTGGCCCGGCCGCGTTTCAAGAATGCATCACATCGCATCGAAAAAGACTCACCACCGACCGAATACAGGCAGAGCTCAAAGTTGCATCCCTCGACGGTGCACTTTCTTCCCGACCACTGCTTGATTTCGCCCCCGACGGGCAAGGGGTACACGGTTTCGGTATACTTGTTGTACAACCGGGGCGGCGGCCCGGGAATGAACGAGAGGTAGCGCCGCGATATCCCACACCGGGTGAAGGGCTTGCCGACGTCTTCGAGCTTGGAGAAACTCGACCCGAACAACAGATCCATGCGCCCGATGTTGCTCACAAAGTGGTGAAACTTTTCCTCGAACATCTGGATGGCCCGTTCGATGACGACCTCCTTCTCCAGGTCGCCCGTCGAAATCTTGTTGCACTGGCCCTCGATGTCGGCCCGGACCTTGGGAAGGACCAGGCCGCTGTCGATCTGGTGGTAGCCCTGGCACAGGACGAGGCCCAGCTTGTTCGGGAGCAGGCGGCGGCCGGTCTCGAGGCGGACGTAGTTTCGTTTCTGGATGTTTTCGATGTGCGTGGGGATGCTGGCGTCGGTCCCGATCCCGTGCTTCTCCATCATGCCGATCAGTTCCGACTCGGTGAGGTAGCCCGGTGCGGTGGTCATTTTCTCCTTGACGTCGAGCGAGGCCCAAACCGCAGACGAGGAGACGACGCTGACCTTGGCCGACGAAGACTCGTTCTTGTTCTTGTTGAAGATCGCAATGATTTCTCCCTTTTGGAACTCGGGGAGTTTCCGAACCTCTTCTTCTTCCTCGTCTTTTTCCGCTTCGTCGCCGTACTCCTTGTGCAACAAGATCTTGAGAAACCCGGGCGAGACCATCTCTTTGCCCGCGACGTAGAACCTGCCCTTGTCGCCCAGCGCCTCGACCTCGAAGGTGATCTTGGTCGACCTCCAGACCGCGTCGGGACTCACGGAAGCGATAAAGTGGCGGACCACCAGCTCGAACACCCGGCTCATGTCGCCCGAGAGCTCGTAGGGACTGGCGGATCGCATGGGAGTGATGGGGGGATGGTCGCCCATGTCGACGCCGCCCCTGGACTTGGTGTGGCCCAGCGCCAGCAGCTCCCTGACGTATCCGCCCCACCTCGAATCGCCCGCCTGCTGCTGCAGGGTTCCCCGGATGTCGAAGGACTTGGGGTAGGCGGTGGACTCGGTTCGCGGGTAGCTAAGATACCCCGACAAATAGAGACGCTCCGCACACTGCATGGCGTGGTGGGGACCAATGCCCAGAGCCTTGGAGCAAGCCTTGAGCAACGCAACGGTGTTCAGTGCTAGAAAGAATGAAAGAATTCCACACAGAGGAAAGACAGAAGGAGCGAAAAAGTCGGTTGTGTTGTGAGTGGCGTCGCAATCTCGTGGCACACAAGTCGCTCTTTAGGGGATAAATAGCTTACGTATAGGCCGTCCTTGTTTCTTGTCCTTCGTAACAACATTGGATACAACGGCAATCGCATTCTCCTCCAGCGCCTTCTCGACCAGGGCCTCCGTTTTCTTTTTGTTGAAAGATCGCCCCGATTCCCACAAGGCTCGCAATCGACAACCACGCTTCAATATGCCCAGTTCTAGCACCCAGAACGGTTCTGGTTTGAAGGTCTCGATATCGATGTGCCTTTGAACGACCTTTTGTAGTTTGCGCCGTTCGAGAGAAAAAAATGATGAGAAACAAGACCGTGCCGGCGAAAGGATACATGAAGACCTCTACGCAAAACGCCAAAGCAGGATTTCCAATCCTACAAATCTAGGTCAATGCAAAAGACTTACAAATCCCATGGTTGGGGTTTGACACGGTCCATACGACAATACGGTGGAATCCAAATCTCCGTATCGTCCTTGAAAGAACCTGGTCTGGAATCTAGAAAAGGCCACTCCGACCTTCAGGTCGAGCTCCTGTCTCGCGTCCACGGCTAGCGCCTGGTTCCTGTCGGGTTTGCCCAGTGCGTTGTACGCCTTGATGATATCCGAGGGATTGATCGCAGAGAAATACGCTCTGTACACACGATCATAGTGAGCCACTCCGCCGCCACCTTTCATGCAGTGCATGCAGCAATTCAGGACCTCGAAATTGATGTTTTCTCCCTCGCGGTCGCAATCCATCCACAACACAATGAAATCGACTCCCTTCGCCTCGTTCTGCAGGTGGGAAACCACCGAGCCCTTGCAGGGTTTTCGTTTGATGGGGGCGTGGAACAATTCTCCGGGATCCACTGTCGTACCAGAAACCGAAATTCTTGTCGGTGAGTGCAACGTGTATTATGCTTTGGAATCTCAACAACAGCACCAAAGATATGACGATTGTCGCCATCGAGCAGGAAAATTAATCTTACCTGATTCCCATGATTGATATTCTTGAGGAAAATCTACTGAAAAAACATGACCGGCTACCGATGTCACTTTGTGCATCACCTGTACAAGAGGTCAATTGATAGAGAAAATCGCTGTAAGGACAATAATCGACAAATTGATTTGCAAAGGAGACGATCCAGATGGATGCACAAAAATATGCCCAAAACCGAAAGCTTCTCACCTTTTTTGCGTGTGGTGCCTTGGGGAAACCAGGATTCGTAAAGGTGTGGATCGGCATCACTCGTTTGTTCACGGTCCGCTCGCCCTTGCACAAACCCTTGGCGATCGCTTCCGCAATGCTCGGCTTTTCGCCAACGTGCAGCACCACGATGGTTTCGCCCTTTCCGTAGTTGATGTCGCTCGTTTGCTGTGGCTGGTTGGGAGGGATGGATGGCTTGGAAACGCCGGGACCCGGGTGGCCTTTTTTGTTGTTGGTTTTGTTTTTGTTGCCCTTGTCTTTCCTCTTTGGGTCTCCCGAATCGTTTTTGGTTTTGTTCTGGTTCCCGGGCTTGCCTTTTTTCTCGTTGTCGGTCTTTTTTCCGTGTTTGTTGCCATCGTTTTTCTGATTGTCGGTTGCTTGGGCCTCGCCCTCGTTTGCTTTCTTTCCCTTCTTGGGGGCGTTCTTTTTTTTATTTGCGTTTTTGGTGTCATCGCCAACCTTGTTGTCCTTGCTCTCTGCCTTTTGTTGTCCTTTGTTCTTTCCATCGGCTTCCCCGGGCGTTCCGTTGTTCTTGTTCTTGGTAGCCTGCTTTCCGCCGCGACCGGCACCTCTGCCGCCACGACCGGCACCTCTGCCACCCCTTCCACCAGGGTTTCCTTTCCTGTTGTTGTTCTTGTTGTTGCCCTTCTTGGAATCCGGGTCTTGGCTGCCGCCCGAATCCTCTTTCTTGTTGTTGTCGTGGGCATTTTTAATGGACATGTTTTGCACCCCATCTTCTAGGTTGGGGTTTGCTCCCTTCTTGGACTGGTGGTTGGTGTTCGCACTTCCATCGGCGTTCTTGGTTCCCCGGCCCGAGCTCCGTCCCCGGCCCCTCCCTCGTCCTCTCCCGCCCCTTCCCGGGCCTCTGCCCTTGCCACGGCCCCTGCCACCCCCGGGCCCGCCCCGGTTGCCGGCATCTTTCGGCCTTGCTTCGTCGCCGGGCGTCATCGCGTGCGGCACACTCACTGCTGGTGTGGGTGTTGTCTCCGGCTGGGCTGTTTCGTGCCGTGCTGCCTGGTGTGGGTGCGGATGTTCTGCTTCCTCTGCCGTACGGTAGTCTGCGCCGCTGTCCCGCCGCACAAAATGGTCTGTCGCTCTCGAAGCTTCGGGTCACGGCGTTCGGCCGTGTCAAGCGGGGCAATGGACGTGGAAGCGCCTTGCGTACCGTTCTGCGCACTGCGTACTCCGTAATACAAAGTACGAAGTACTACGCAGAAGTACTGTAGTTCCCATCAGGTATTTTACCGAGGATCCTCAAATGATCATGTTGTTGTGATTGCAGTGATCCTCAGGCGAAATCGGGGTTGATTCTAAAAAGGGGGATGATTAGCTTGGGGTATCACTGTACATACTGTACCACAATTCTAGTCCTTTACTACCGGTAGTTGTGGTGACGTGAACGAGATGAATACTTTGCGCGGGAAAGTGCTCGTACGGAATCATACCAGATGCGCATGCGAGTACGAATACTAGTAGTACGAGTACGAGTATCGCGATCAATACGAGTACGTACTGTGTCAACGAGAACACGATCGAAGTACGGTACGAACTATGAGTACTGCATCGTCATCCTTTGTTCATACCATTGCGTTGTTCTGCACCCTGCTACCGGTTCCCAGCTGTGGAATCCTCGATGGCACAGAGAACACCGACAGTACAGGAACGACGGCCAATTCAAGGGACACCGCGGCCATGACGCCGAAAACGAACAGAGCCGAGAACTCTTTCGTTGCGATATCGAACGGAGAATATGCCATCGACCAGCTCGAACGGTGTGGGAAATGGCTTGCCTCCATTCCCAGAGACGACATCACGGTGTTGCGCCACACCATCGAATTCCAGGAATTCCTGGCATCGTTTGAGCGCCTGGGACAAGCCCACATACGGGTGGTTGTCAACAACCAATCGCCCAACGCGGTGGGCACGACGCAGATTTCGCCGGCGGGGCCGCGTGCCTTCGGTGCCCACCACCCTGCGGAGGCCAACAAGAAACCTTCGGGCCTTGGCAACGCGCCCATCGACGCCCCGCACAACCAGCACGCGGAAGAGGGCAACGGCTCGGCGAAACCCAATCGAAAACGCAGCGCGGCGCACGCCACGGCGGTGGATGCGGGGAATCCGCGGCGTAGCAACGAAAGCAACGACGACGACGACGTTTCGATGAAGGATCCACCGGACGGAGCAGCGACGCGCGGGGGAGCCGGGGGCCTTCACGGGAACGCCACCCCCACGAGCGGGAACAACTTTCTTCGGTTCACGGACGACGTCCTTTTGCGGATCTTTGAGTTCCTGCGGTGCCGCTGCCTGATCCAGGCGTCGCGGACCTGTTCCCGCTTCCACCAGCTGGCCGGGAGGAGCGCCTTTCAGCGCTCCTCGGACGTCCTCCAGACCCGGCAGCTCGGGAGCGTCATGCAGCTCCTCCGGGCCCGGGAACAGATCCACTATACCGACGAGGACGCCGCCGCTTCCGGAACCGGCCGGACCTTTCACGTCCCGGTGCCGTTGCTCCTGCCCAGCAGGCGCGTTCGCGTCGCGAACGCCGGGGATCCCGAGTATAACGGGGTGTACTACTGCACGGAGTGCAGCTGCAACGGCTTTGTCTTTACCAAGCCGCGTGGGTCGGCGATGGTTCGGGCCGAGAACGGCGAGGCCAACAATGGCAACATGGTAGTTCCACAGCAATACAGGGATCTCGCATTCCACAACAACAACAACAACAACAATATCAACAACAATTTCATCATCAACAACAACATCGATAGGAACATGAACATGAACATGAACGTCGACGATTGGTTTCAACCCCAGCGCCAGCACCAGCACGACCCACACCAACAAATAGCTACCATGCCCGACGATAGAAGTGATTCGGACTGCATCGAAGAAACACCACTCCGATGCATCATCAGCAAGGCATATTCTGGAAATGTAAGTATCGGCGTGGAATGTGTCGTAGCGTGACGAATGGACCTCGAAACACCGGAGCTGCATTCAAATGTGGAATAGTTGTACCATCAAACCAAAAAAAAAGCCCGTGATATTCACGACTTTTTGTCTGTTTCTATTTCGTCCCTCCGACATTCTTTCTCGCAGGATCTTTTGTGGTACATGAGCAAGGAAGTAGAGGTAACAGATGGTGGCTCGAGGAGGAGGAAAACTTTTTCGTTTTACGCTCCGTTACTACTGGATGCTCCCCCCGACCTTCCTGTATACCCCAGTCAAACTTCCATGCTCGTTCGACAGCACCAGAGGTGGCGGGGGTTAGCGGGTTCGACGACCATTCAGCCACCTACGGTAGAGGTGATCGATGCAGACGATTTGGATCTCTAACAAAAGACTAGTTTCGAAGCAGAAAAATTAAAAAAAATCGATCATCGTTGTCGTACAATGTTCCTGTTTTGATTTATTTCTATTTCGTCATCTTTTCCTTGTTGATGAGGTGAGTCGTCGTTTCCACCATGTGCAATAGTTTGTCAATGTCCGAAGCCCACTCCGACAACACCGATTCCGGGCTTTTCGGTTCCGAGAAACGAACGATATCCTTGGGACGATCGATTTTTGCATAAACGGATCCATCACTCACCATGGAAGAGATTTCCTTTTCCAGTCGTACCGGATCGAGCCCCAACAACTGGGACAACCGAGCACCATGTATGCGTCTGTAATACAAGGATACCACCCGGATGTTGTGCTGGATGATGCGTCGGTGGAAAGATTCGTGCCAAAACTGGGCCAAATCTTGACCGCCTTCCTTCAGAGCTGGAATGCCTTCAACCTCGGCTTGATTGGCCATAGGATAATTTATAATCTCTTTCTTCAAGAACAGTTTGATGATCGTATGGAAAGAGGGCAACTTCTCAAGATTGGAATCTTCACAAACACGGTTCATCATGTCCTGTTGTTCATTTGAGTGAGGGCTAAGCGCCAGATACACAACTGTCGTTTGTAGGGCTTCCTTCCATTTGGTGTCGTCCTTCAAGATAAGAGGTGTTGAATATATCGAATGATAGTCCTTTGCAAGTGAAAAGGCGTCTTTTTCGTGGCGGTGTAACTTCGCCATTAATGTGAAGAATTTCACCTTATATTCTTCCATGTTGTCCTCTTGCAAATGTTTGCGTGATACTTTCCCTGCGACAATGGCAGAACGAACATAATCCTCCTTCGCCAGGGTAAGGCGCATCTGTTCTAGGATGTATTCCACCTTTTCTCGTTTCGACAAAGATCCGTAGGTTTCGACATGAACTTCCTGCAGAACGTCGGCCGCAGTGGAAGTATCTCCCTCTTGTTCCTATAGTTATCACGAAGTAACGGTTAGTCAATTTAGTGTGACAAACAGAGAGGAAAAACCAATAAAGTCACGTAATCCGAGAAACGGTAGTCTGTTCGATGCAAGCAAAAACGCCATCCTTGCAACCCGAGGCTCTCACACTCGAGTACGTAGTCAAAGATCAAATCATAGACAATGGAACCGGCATTTCCTACTCACCAGAATCATGGCCATGCATCGTGTCAACCGCGCACGTTCGCCTTCCAAAAATATTTTGCCGTCCGAAATTTCCCGCAGGGCTTCCACCAATTTGTCGCGTGACTTCTTTTCCAGATCGCTAGTCACCGGTAGTGGTGTGAACTGGCCCTCAACACAGTATGGGATGCTCGTGTGAACCAATGCCTTGATGGCGGCCTGTTTTTGGGATCGCCGGGTCGCGAGGGTTTGCAGGGTCGTCAGCAACAGCTCGTCGTCTCCGGCGTCTTTGCAGTATTCGAGGGAGGCCTTGCACACTCGGATCAAGTTTGCCGTGTCGTTTCCAGTTCTGCATCGCTTTTCAACGGCTGCCAACATGGCTAGCGCATCTTTCAGCTGCCCCCCCTTGGCCAATTGAGCGCTTTGTTCGAGTTTGACATCGGTCTCGGGTGTCAAATCAATCTTTTCCTCGAGTTCCCCACCCGAGGCTCGTCCAGATGACCCTACATTCGACATGATTGCGCGTGATTGAGTCTGATGATTAAAATTGTAACACAATCGACTTCTTCAAATATCTGAAATGATTTGTCTCCTACGAATAGCTGACTGAAGAGCGATAGCTTTGTGTCGAATAGATGAAGAGTGCCATAGACCCAGTACTCCTCCGCGATGGTTGCAGTGAACGACAAATCACATCGTCTTTTTAAACTATTTCGATCTTTTTCGGTCGGCTTCCTTGTCTCTCCTTTCATTCACGATTCTCTCATGAATGAAAAACAAATTTGCGAGCAAGGGGAACACGCCATCGATCACATTTCGTGAAGAGTCAGTCATGCACGTCTAGGAAATTACTCTCAAAATGTTCAGACGTCGATTGACCACCGTCAGAGGATCCGCACGAGAAAACGTTGTGTGGAGCAACGAAAAACACCTCGGTGTCTTACGAGTGCCTGATTATATGCTTTCCAGTTGAACTGGTGTGGACACATCAAAAGATATCCAAATACACAATGCGATGGATTGTCTGTCTCGCCTTTTTGATCCTGTACAAAGGAAAAGAAATTGATTGCTTCAATGCGAATCCTACTAGTTCTAGAGGGGTAACGTTCGTATGCTTTCGACAAAGGCAATCGAAAGAACTCAATGTGCGAAAGAGCAAGTCGTCGGACCTGCAAGACGATGACAAAGGCCAACGAAGACGGATCATCAAAGCGTTTCTCTCCGCTCCGTTGTCTATAATTCTCCCTACGGGAGAATCATCGATAGCATCGGCAACCAGCGGAGAAATCGCAAAGACAAAACCCTTTGCTCCGATGGAAAATCTTCTGCCCGCGGTCCGTGTCAAGCTGTCGATCGACTCGGCAACGGAGTTGACGCAATCTTTAATGGCTGCCAAAAAGGACGAAGAAACACCAAAACAGAACAGAGAGCGGGAAGCATCCATACTGCACGAGCTCGAGAAAACGTTGCTGGGACCTCAAAACTACGTTCAATCCACGCTCAAACTGCAGGGCGTCCCGGCAAAGCCCGGAGACCTGTACCTCGATTCCTACAAATCCATGAAGGGAGACCTGCCCTTCCAGCAGTTTCTCATCAAAAACGGAGACATCGATTCTTGGAAACGGCTCAAAAAAGCAGAGAAAAACATGGAGCGGTCGAGCGAAGTAAGGGCAGCCCTGAATGCCTACACCGACGCCCTGACCTTTTCTACGGATTCGTACCTACTCACCGTCGATAGGGACGCTCGGTCCAGGATGGTCCGTGAAGATCGCCTGCCGGACGTGAAGCAGGTCATTACCAGCGACATGGGAATGCGATATCTGTACAGAAACCAGGTGCTGACGGCAATGGAAGACGTAAAGGCAGAACTCGAGTACCAATTGATGCAGGCGGGCGGGGACCAGGGGTTTGATGGTAGCGAGCTGCTCGAGTTGCTAGGGTCGGCGGGAACGGCAATGGACCGGTGGCTTTCTCTCGTTCCCCCCGAGGACCTGAAACAAGCGCAGGAATTCATTTCTACTGAAGAGCGGTAGTGCAGAAAGAAAAAAATGCCAAGCCCCACGATTTGCCTGATTTATATGCCAACGACGATTCTCGAGACAGCAACGAGTCTCATGCATTTGTGACCTTTACCATACATTGATATAAAAACGTTGTATTGCTTCTTCGCAAATAAAGGATAAGAGAATAAGTTCTGAAATCAATCACAGATATGGCATAAACTACTACAATGGATCAACGCTCGCCATCTTATTCTGAATCCACATTCGAGCGTTAATGTACATAATTTAATCTTTTTCTAGATTTTTACGTCGATTTCTCCTTTAGATCACCGTTTTCCTTCTTTGTTTTCTCCTCTTCGAAGTCGTCCATCCAACCGTAATCAATTTGATCGTCCGGGTGATATCCGGGGAGTGGATCCTGTACAAACGTTGACTTTTTGTTCTTTCGACCCATGTATTGATCCATGTTGTCCGACGGGGCACCCGGCATTCCCATGCCGTTCGCGGTCAACTTGTCCGCCAAGGAATCCGACGGCTGTATCGTCATCATGTTCACCTCGTCGTTCCCCCAGTCGTAAAAGTGGATGGGTATGTCGAGGACCGTCTCCACGATTTGCGACTCCCAGCCCGGAATCGCATAGCCGCAGGCAAACACCTTGCACCGCTTCCCCCGCAGGGCTTGCTCGAGGAGCGGCCGTATCTTTTCGAGCCCGTCCGTGGCAAAGTACATGGTGAGAATCGTCGCCCTCGGGACGTGTTCGGTCCACGCCGGCGACTCGGGGTCCATCAGATCCGACACCACGAAGCTAAGCTTTGGCTTCGGGTGTATGCGATTCAGTCTGTCGTCGGCTCGCTTCACAACTTCCTCGTCGACATCGATTCCTATCGATTCTTTCACACCGTATTCGATGGCGTGGAAGTTCACCCGGCCGTCGCCACACCCGAGTTCAACGTGAATCTAACAAAACATTGATGGAATGATCGAGAAAGCAGATCGGTGAATGCGAATCGAACCACACAAAAAGAAGTCCCCTCCCCCTTACATTATGTGCACAAACGAAACGGAATGTATCGACAACCCGACCGCACCGACGAATCCACTTACTTCGTCTGCCTTGCTCGTATCGCTGCTCTCCTCTTCTTCGGGCAGCGCTCTGTCGAATATCTTACGTGCCACCGAGTCCGGAACGGGTACCCACGGGCTCAGCTCCGTCTTTTCCCTGTACTCCTCGATCGAGTCGCCAGAGAATTGAAACGGGTCTTCCAGGGCCGACGTGGTTGGCACCCCGCCACCCGTTGCCAGCTTTGCATCGCTGAATTGTTCGTACTTGGCTTTCTTTCGCCTAGGCCTCCTCCTCGGCGGGTTGGAATCCGTCGCAAAAGCTCGGTGGGCCAGAGCCAAAGGTCCGGGCAGCGCCGCCGGTACGAGCATGGCGTTCGGTGACAACCTCCGGGGTCCTTGCTTCGATTGGACGCTGAGTGAATGAAAACTTCGCAAGAGGCATCGTGCATTTATTCTCGCCATGACGAGCCCTATCGTAACACTATGGAGTGATCAATTTGTTGCTGCCTTTCAATTTGCAGAATCTGTTGGTCTCGGTATTCTTCGAAGTCTCTGGTGGGCCTGGTATTCGTACTTCCATCTTGTGGATGCAGTTTTAGCTAAAGATGGTTGACTGAAGTCCATCGCACTCAGCATAATTTTCACCGATCGAAATGGTGAAGCCAAATCAGTCAATAGTCGATCGTGACTAGAAAAGAGATAAAATCGAGCTCGAAATAAATTGAAAAAATTAGTGGCAACTAACTGCATGAAAGTTTTCTCGCGCGGAGTTGGTGGTTTGACCTGCGGCATTCCCTTTTATTTCTTAGTTTTACTATCGCACATACCGTAGCATACGGTACGGTTTCGACATCATTGGTGCGAAGCTCGACCGACAGTTGCGTCACGCGACACGACTGAGAGCGTACCAGCCTACGACAAAAACAACGCATGTCGCGTCGTTAAAAAAGCACTCCATCCAAAGCTTTAACAAACCGTCCTGTTTTGTTCGCACCTTAGCGTAGCGAAACCGAGAAAACGGTAGGTTCCGCGTACCGTCCCCTCCAATTACGAGTGCGACCTCGGCTACGACTCCACGAGTACTTTACTCGTACGTCCGCTACACAGCAATTACAACAGACGAACATCATTTTGAACGTGCAACCGGGTCTTTCATTAGAGACTCGAAGAACGAGAACCTGACCGCAGACGCTTTCCTAGAGACACCGAGTAGCATCCTTTTCAGCACCACCTCGTAGAATACTGCCCCCTTGTCGCTGTATTCAACCAACAAACAACAATAGATAAATTAGACCGAGCGGAGAGATCCTTCCCTGACTGTCAACGCAAAAGCAAACTAAGAAATGGCGTCGAATGCACAATACGACCAGGGAAGTGGGCAACCCCGCCCACTCCAGATGGGTGCCAAGGGTGCCTACATCGTGAGACTGCTCATGGTTGGAGATTCTTCCTGTGGAAAGACATCCCTGGTTCTTCGATTCGACCAAAATGTCTTCTCAACGAAATTCGTGACAACGATTGGTGTGGATTACCGAGATAAAATGGTCAAGGTACGTGCTTTTGAGGCAGAATGTGTCTTTTGTATGTTGCGTCCACAAGATGCTCTGTGGCGTGCAGTCCGTCGTTTCTTTTTCTTGGCGAGTCTATTGGATCCCGTTCCTCTGACACGAATTCCTTTTCTTGGGACTTTTTCGCAATGTCCGTGAAATCTTTCGGAATCGCATCGATTCAAAATTCGCGCCGGGTTGTCGCTGTGTTGTGGGTTTAGATCGAGGGTGTGCCAATGCGTTTGCAGCTGTGGGACACGGCCGGACAGGAACGATTCCGGTCTCTGACTTCCAACTTTTTTGGACGAGCCGACGGCTTTGTCCTGACCTACGACATTTCCAACAGACCATCCTTCGATCACGTCATTGGGTGGATGAGAGATATCAAGACCAGGGCACCCCCCGATTGCGATATCGTCTTGTGCGGAAACAAAAGCGATCTAGACAACGATCGAGTCGTCACATACGACGAAGGAAAGCAACTGGCAGAGGAATACGGGGTTGAGTTCTTTGAGACATCGGCCCTTACCGGACAAAACGTCGAGAAAATGTTTTACGGGTTGTCCACTACGATCAAACGCAAACGGATCGACGAATTCGAGGGAAGCGGGGGCTCCGCTTCCGGAGGAGGAGGCGCGGACCAAAACGCTGCCGGTGGAGAGGGTAGCCAGAAGATCGATCTCGGTTCCTCACAGGGTGGTGCCGATGCACCGAAGGCGGGCTGCTGTTGAACAACCTTGTCGCGGCGGCCATCTGCAATTGTTATGAAAGAGTCTTTCGTTTTGGTCGATCGATTGGTTCCGACACCTTGGACAAGAACATGGTTTCGAGGGATGCTTTGCGGCATGTCGCATCGAGCCATGGATGCATACAGTACGTATATTGTTGCTCATCTCAGAGTGGCCTACACACAGTTTTGGTAGTCAAAAGATCAATACCAATTAATCTACTCAATACCACGGCTTGTCTTTCGCTACCGTGAGCGAGAGAATTAGGCGTTGTGGCGAAACTTTTGTCGTAGATGTCTCTTGTATCGTTAAAAATTGTTGTTATTTTCTAGCTATTGGTATTAAGTTTATCTAAGATGTTGACAAAGAAGAGGAAAATTGGCTTGTCCACAAAATTGTAAACTCGCGGAAACAATGCGTCGCACCGGAACGATCACGAACGGCGTTTGGTTGCAGAAGGCTGCCTCGCTGAGGAAAAGGTCGGCTGTGTTGCGCTGTCTTGTTCGGTGTTTCGCCAGCCACCCGGGTTCCGTGTCGACGCATCGCCGGGCGGCACCACGCCTCGTCCGGGTCGTCGATGTGCACCGCGTTTCAGTGTAACTTCTCCAGGGGAAAAGACATTGCGATCCGATCGTTTCGTTTCGTTCAGGCCTTTTCGTCCTCGAACTGCCGAAAGATCTGCTTGAACTCGTGGATGTCGACCCGTCCGTCCTCGTCGACGTCGACGAATTTCATGAGCTCGTGGATCTCCGAGATCGGAAACTCGGGGTCCATGCGGTGCATGATTCTCCGGACGTCTTCCACGCTCAGGTAGCCCGAGTTGTCTTCGTCGGCGTTGTGAAAGGCGGCGACAATGTCGTCGTCCGTGAGGCCGCGGTTCGTTTCCAGGGAAAACTGCTTGACGGCCCGCTTGAAGAGGCGCTTCCGGCACATGTTCCGGAAGGAGTCCGCCGAGTCCGGGCTCGACTGGATGACGGCCATAAAGTCCTCGCCGCTCATCTCGTGGATCCGGCAGGTGTCGGAGATGCACCGGACGGTGGAGCTCCGGGGCTTGTCGAACAGGAGGGAGGACTCCCCGAACGAGTCGCCCTCTACGTACCGGTGGACCGGAACGTCGCCGTGCAGGACCTCCAGCTCCCCCCCCTTGGTGTCGTCGACCCGGTACATCGCCGTGCCCTTGTCGCCTTCGTGGTAGACTACGTCTCCCTTGGACAGGGTGCGCGCCTTGACGCTCTGCTCCAGCCGGAGGAGGTTCTTGGCGTACACCAGGGACCGGGCCCTCCACTTGCGCTTGAGCTCGTTCTTGGTGTCGATGGACGACCTCGTGTAGCGATCAAAGTCCTCCCGCTTGATCTCGACCACGTCCACCGGGGTGGCGCACTTGGCCGTCGTAAAGCGCCGCTTGCTGTCGTCCAGCAGGCTTCCCTCCCCGAAAAAGTCTCCGCTCCGCAGCATGGCCACCAGTTGTCCCTTGCGGGTCTGGACCTCGACCTTTCCGGAACTCAGAAAGTACATCGACCGGCCCTCGTCGCCCGCATGGAATATGTAGTGCCCCCTCTGTCACCGTAATTTCAGAGACACAGAGACGCAAAACCAATTCTGTGGCGTGAGCAAACCAAAAAAGGACACACGAGCCACGGGACAGGACAGGAAAGAACAGAACAGAACAGAACAGAACCATCCAAGCCAAACACCACAAACAAACAAACACAAACAAACAAGCACACACACACACACAAAAGGGCAACCGCCCGGACGCACGCACGCACCGGATAGTGCTTGTGCTTCATCCCGGAAAAGAGGTTGGAAAAGTTGGACAGCGAGACCTCCAGGTCGTTGTTGTTGACCTTGAGGAACTCGTTGGCGTCCCGGGTCTGTATGACCTCACCGGTGCGCTCCGTGACGACCTTGCCAATGTCCTCCCCCGTGATGAATCCCTTGCCGTCGCCGTCAAAGACGTCAAAGGCCGACTTCATGATGGAGACCCCGCTGTTGTTCTTGGAGACGCTGTTGCGCCGCCTGGCCTCGCTCATGGTCAGGTCCTGGTGGCCCTGGTTGACCAGGACGGCAAAGACGCTCGCCTCGAGCTTGTAGCGCAGGTCCTGGAACTTGGAGAGCCTCTTGTCGGAGTCGGCAATGACCTCGGTGGTGGCGGTCTCCCCCTGGACCCAGGGGTGGTGCAGGAGCTCGTAGGCCCTCATCCGCCTGGAGGGATCCGGCTCCATCAGCCTGCGGATGAGGTCCTTGGCCGACTCGGAGAGGTGTCCGACGTAGGCCTCGTCCATGGGGGGGAGGGGGTTCTGCTGGATGGCCTCGGCGACCTCCTCGTCGGACCGGTCGCAGCGGATGTCAAAGGGGTGGAATCCCATGAGCATGATGTAGAGGATGATCCCGAGGGCCCAGGTGTCGACGGCCGGGGTGATCTCCTGGCCCCGGAAGCGCTCGGGTGGCCAGTAGCCCGTCGTCCCCGTCTCGATCATTCCGGGGGGGCGGTTCCCGGCGTCCCCGTCGCCGCCGGCGGTGGCGTTGTGGTTGGTTTCGCCGGACTGGGGTTCGTCGTCGTAGTGCCCCACCGGCTGCGTGATGGCGCAGCCAAAGTCGATGATCTTGATGGTCCCGCCCCGTCGCTTCCGGCTGCACAGCATGAGGTTTTCCGGCTTGATGTCGCAGTGGATGACCCCGACGCCGTGCATAAAGGCCAGGGCCGAGGAGATCTCGAAGATGAGCCGGGCGGCGTCGGCCTCGGAATAGGCCCCGTCGTTCGAGAGGTGGTCGAAGAGCTCCCCGCCCGTGATCAGGTCCATGACCAGGTAGTACTGCTTGTAGTCCTCGTACTGATGGGTTGGGGAAGCAGGCGGGCGGGCGGGCAGGCGGGCAGGCAACGGAACAAGAAAGGTGAGGGTTTGCCAACAGCGCCTCGCACGCAGCAACAAGATGGCTGGTAGGAAATCCGATCGCAGTATAATTGCAGTCCAATGCGATGCAATACAAAGTGATGCAATACAAAGTGATGCAATACAAAGTGATGCCACACAACACAACACAATGCAACACAACACAACAAAATGCAATACAGCACGGGGCACTGCACTGCCATCGTTCCCGCCACTCACTCACCATGTCCCTGAGGCCCGAGATGTTCGGGTGCCCCCCGTTGTCGTAGATCCTCAGCAGGGCGTCCGTTTCCATGAAAAAGTCCGAGGAGTCCGTGTACCGCTTGGAGATCTTCTTGAGGGCGACCTTTTCCCCCGTCAGGGCCAGCCGGGCGGGATGGACCGACCCGTAGGCCCCCTCTCCCAGGACCGTGTTCCAGTCCACCTTGTACTTCTCGTGGAGGCCCCGGCCGGCCACGGAGCGCATCCGGCTGATCATGACGTTCCGGGGCTGGTGGAACTGGGTGCCGGCGGCCTGGGGGGAGGAGACCGGGTGCTTGGCGGGTTGCCTCTGGAGGGGCTCGCAGGCGCTKGTGGTGGTGGAGCTGCTGCCGGCAGTGCCAGTGTCAATGCCAGTGCCAATGCCAATGCCAAGCGGACCGAGGTCGTTCGTTCGGATGCCCCCCGGTGCCCGGATTTGTTCCTTCGGTTGCTGTTGCTGTTGCTGTTGTTGTTGTCCTTGCTGTTGTTGGTTCTGCTGGTTCCGGCGCTCCGAGAGCAGCGTCCCCCCGATCAGAAAGGCGGACGCCGCTGCCGCCAGGGCCAGCGGGGGCGGCTCCCCCTGTTCGGGGGCCGGCAGCGAGGAAAACGCCCGCTGCTTGGGCCAGCGGGAGGACGGCCGGGCCGGAAGGGAGCCATTGGTGGTGGCGGGCAAAGCCGTGGCCCTTTTCGTTGTCGTTGTCGTTGCTGGTGTCGTTGCTGGTGTTGCTGCTGCTGCTGCTGGCGGCGGGTCCCGCGCCGGCCACGAGCTCCGCCGCCGCCGCTGCTGCTGCTGCGGTCGGTGGCACCGAAACCTCGCCAACAAGCGGACACGGTCCCTGCACCCGTTCCGGCAGACCGAGCTCATGGTGCTTGCCGCTGCCGTTGCCGTTGCTGCTTGCTCTTTTAGGTCCTCGTGGCGTTGCGGGCCGTCGTCTTTGTCGTTGTCGTTTTCGTCGTTGTTGTCACGCCGCGGAAATCAAGTGGATTGTTCTCCGGCGTGTGCTTCGGTCCGATTGGGGGATTCTTCCTGTCCTTGTCCCTGCCCTGGTGCGGTTGTGTCTCTGACCTGGGCGGACTGTTGTTCTTGCTGCTGCTGATGGTGGTGGTGGTGGTGATATTGGTGGTGCTGTGCTTGGCCAACCGGAATGCTACCCGGTTCCGTGTCCCACCGGTGACTTCCCTCGAAAGCACGACAAAACGCCGATCCTTCTCGCGGTACTTGTGTGCCACCGTACAATCGTCGTAAAACACGGTATCTACCGTACAGTGGACTAGTACCGTACGGTTCCGGTTTGGTGAAGCACCTGCCCAAGAAGGTCTTTCGCCGGGATCGTTGATTGGTGCCTGGCACTCGTACCGAAATGTACGCGTAGTGTACGTACAAACGACACAACCAAAGCAAAAACGCATCCCAGAGAGTCTTTTCTGTCCCAAAGAAAAAGACCGGTTTTGTTTTGTACTGTGCGTGCGCTACGGTACGTACGTACTTTACGAGAGAATCGTTTCGGTCGGTCGTGATTCCATTTCAGTATTCGATGCGATGTTCCATTCGATGATGATTCGATTCGATTCTACTCGACGATGCCTTCGTCCCGGGAAGGCAACGGTGATTGGTGGATGGATGGATTCGGTGAACAGAAGAGAAAAACGAGCGGCGCGACGTTCCGTACGGTACGGTACAACTGCTTAGAAGGTACTAAACCCGAAAGTCTACGTGCGCAATGGACGGACGGTGCCGAATCAATCGCGCAAGTCAATAGTAGGAAATACGAAGTACGAAGTACTATTTAAGTACCGTACGTAGTTGGGTTTCGACTGGGACCTCTAGGTAACTATTTTCTCAAGTATGCCATTTAGCAGGGGATTGTTAGTTTGTTTGTTGCTTTCTGGCTATTCCTTTGCGAACTAAAGAGGTGGTCCCCCTTGATGAAACAGATGGCCTGCTGCTGTGTGTCTGATTCTGAAACTAGGGGCTCCAACAAGCAGGGCGAGTGACAGATCTGAAGATTAGACTTCGTGTATTGGGTCCATTGGTGACGAGTTGTTGAACGTTAAGATAGGAGATGGCAAAGATAGGAGCAGCTGCTGGATCGAGGTGGATCCAGGACACCAAGGACAACAGCTGACCCGGAGCGCGAACCGTTCGAGTTGATGAGATCCGGGGAGGGATCAAGATCGATCTATGGCACTCGTCTACACAAGACAAGATACAGTAGACAACCAACAAACAGAGCCAGAGGAGTGGATTCCGGTACGAGGGCCGTGATTGCTAGAGCTAAGTGTAAGTGGAGAGCTCCTATATTTCGAGTTTCAGGAATTCAGAATAGGAAAACGAGACACTATTTAGATCTCGTCCGAGCTAGCCTCACCCTCGATCGTTCTGGAGGTTTGCGCTTGTTCCGGAATCGAGTGTGTGACGTGATGCGCAAGAGAAATAGCCGCTGCCGGGAGGTCTTCCACCGGCTCTCTCTCTCTCTCTTGCTGGACGCGGAGCCCGATCGCGGCGTTCCCCGTCTCCCGGCTTCGGCGGTGTGCTCTGTTCTGTTCTGCTCTGCTGTACGGCAGTATCTACCATGTCGTGCTCTTCCTTCCTTCCTTCCTTCCTTGCCGCTGCATCCGCCGCTACGCCGCGAGGACGGTCACCTGCCCCGGCTCGACGAGTCCCGACGCCAGGCAGAAGGACCGGGCGGCCTCGTTGAAGGCGTCCGGACCCGAGACCACCACCCGGCAGGGACGGACCGCCCGCCCGAGGGCCTCCCCCACCATCTCCTCGGTCAGCCTGCGCGAACGGTGGACGGTGGCGTTGGGGGGGAGGCCGCCCTGCACCAGCGCCCACGGGTCTCGGCCCCCGCTCGCGGAAACACAGCCCGAAAAGGGCGGATCGGTGGTGGAAGCACCGGTCACCAGGAGGTCGTACCGGCGGATCCCCCGGAACCGCGGGTGGGGCCGGGTGCCCTCGAGGCACCACTCCCCGATCGAGGGGAGCATCAGGAGGTCGTCCTCCCGGCACGAGTGGACCACGTCGATGGGGCACCTCAGCTGGGAGTTCCTGGGGGTGGAAATCCCCAGGAACCGGTGGGGCTCCCGGTGGGCCAGGACCTGCGGGAGGGCGACGATCCCCGTCCCGGCCAGGAGGAGCAGGACGCTCCCCGGCAAGGGTGCTCCGTCGCCGTTGCTGGTGGCGGGGACGAGGGAGGGCACCGAGAGGGTCGGGACCGGCTTGGACAGCCAGACCCTGACGGGGGGCTCGCTCCCACCGCCCCCGAGGATCCCTGCCGCGTGCTCCACGAGCCACTGGGTGAGAGCGCCGTCGCCGTAGATCTTGATCAGGATCGAGCACCTCCCCCTCTCCCACTCCAGGGCGCTGCTGATGGGCGTGTAGTCCCGCTCGATCCAGGGGAGGGGGCCCTCGGGGTTGGCCCCGACGGCCCCCAGCATGGTGGTGTGCCACGTGACGGGATTGGGCATCCTGCCCCGGCCCCGGGGGTGGGGGGTCCCGCGCTTGGGGTCCCTCGTCTCGAAGCGGAAGACCGCCGAGTGCGCCGAGACGGCCTCCGCGGAAACGAGCGTCCACGGCACGTAGCCCGAGACCGAGGCCGGCATCTCCGTGAGCGAGAGTCCCCCGGAAAGATCCCCGTAGCCGACCTGTCGGAGGATCTCCCGGGTCGTCTGCTCGAGCCCGGGATCCCTTGTGGGCTGCCTCGACGCCTGCTCCAACAGGCAGGCCAGCGCCTCGTTCCACCGGTAGGCCGACGTTAGGTACTCGATCCTCTTGCTGGCCCTGGCGGTTTCCATCCTGGCCCGGGCCCCGGCCGGGAGGTCCTCGAGCGGGGGGAGCTTTTCCCCCGTCGCCCGCTCCACCACGTCGGCGCTCTTCTCGGGGGTCTTGATCCCGACAAAGTACCGGGGCCTGGCGCCCTTCTTGGCAACCGCGACGGCCGGCCCCCTCCGGCAGTACCCCAGGCACCCGGTGGGCTCCACGCCGCATCCGTTTCCTCCCACCAGGCCCGCGAGCTCCTCGATCTCCACCAGGGTGGCATCGGCGCCCTTGCTCAGGCAGGTTCCCGACTGGCACACGTGGATGGTGGTGCCGGGGGAGCCTTCGGCGGAGGCGGTTCCGCTCGGGGCCATCTCGGGGACGGGAGGAACCGGCGAACCGAAACAGCGAGCGGAACGGTTGCGAGTGCCTCCGCTGCGGTATCGAAGCCGGACCGGCGGCGGGGGGTACTTGGGTTTTCGAGCCGGGGATCCGTGTTTTGGAACAAGTGGGAACGGAAGCGCGCTCGTTAGGGTTGTGGCGATTCGATCGCTGCCTCCGGTACCGGAACTCGGTGTGGCTTGATGGGACGGGAAATGACGGGATGTGATTGATGTGATGTGATGTTCGCTTTGGTCGAAGAACGATTGGGAGAAGAATTAGGCCAAAACAAAAAGCCTTTTTCGTTGGGACCTTGCGGGCTGTCGAAAAGTACAGTGCCTTACTACGAATCGTACGACATAACAGGCTTTCAAGCGTAGCTTGAAGAACACTAAGTGGTTTTTCAAACATACCGGTACCACATCACAGTACTGTTACCAGCAGTATGAAATAAAAATATTTTGTACACACGGGAAATGTGTGCAGAATGTGCAGTGCAAAACTTTTTCCACAATTTTTTACATCGTCATAAAAAAATCCCAACCCTCCTCAAATCACCACAGCACCATAAAAAATTAATCATCCATTAAGAAAAACAACCAAAATAATACATCGACCATGGTGAAATCAACCAAGAACAACTCATCCTCTACCAAACAACATCGACAACATTCACACCGGTCCTGTCTCCGCCTTACAAACAGCTTTGATCCAGCCCAGTTGAAAACAGTCTCGA